GGGGTCGTTTCCTCGGGGACGAGCGTCTCGTCTTGCAGGTCGGAGGAAGATGCAGCCGAGGGGCGTTTTCGTCCAAACGCAGTTGTTGCTTGGGAAGCCGGTGTCGAGCTCGTTTGGCCTTCCACACTCTGGACAGTCGTGGAGTTGGTGGGCTGCTCATCTGCTTCGGACATGTCCACATCGCCGCCTCCTTCAAGCTGTTGTTCCTTAGTTCTAATGATGCTAGGACGAACCAATTTCCTTCTGAGTTTCACGTTCGACTTTGCTAACGTGAGCCGTTTTTCTTTATCCTCGTTAGTTCTCAGTAGAGGTGGATTATTCGAATGGGCAGGGGCTTTAGTTGCTGGAGTGGAAACCTGGTCTGAAGATGGGACATCAGAGAGGGTAGAAGAATCCAGGTCATCACCACAAACAGGTTCAACCACCTGCTCGAAACTCTCGACAGCCTGGACACAAGCCGACCGCGAAATCCTCCAAAATACTAGAATTCGTCATCTCGGACTGAATTTGGTTTCCAGAGCCTTATCAATCTCTCGACCTCTTCAATAGTATATTTGTCAAATGAAATAAAAGTCTTCTTAATTTTTCATTTTAGAAATATATTAACCTATATTCATCAATTAGCCTAACTGTTGGTATAGCTCATATATTGACAAAGGAAGGAGGCAGATTGATGCCTGCGAGCGTAGCGAGCGGAGCAGAGCGAGCAGGCATTAGCGCCTGTTGGGCTGGGTCGATTAGTTGGGCGGGGGTGCGGGGTCGGAGCCCCCGCAGTACGGTACGGGGTATTTAAGTAAATTTATACCTTGTAGAGTTTTAGTATAAATACATGGTGTATTAATGTATTTGAGACTATTGAAAATAAAAGAAATCGCTCCTCCGCCGTGGACGTAGGCATATTGCTGAACCACGTAAATCTTGTGTTGTTTACTTTCTCGTTTTTTAATTCGTATGTCATATCACAACACTAACATTTGATATGCACTTATGATAAACAATAACAAACATTTAATTAAGAAGCAACACAAACTCTTCTTGATCAAATGTTCAAAGCATGCACCAAAATATTTGGACACATTTTCTTATTTGTTTTCCACCAAAACACAAACACAGTACAAAACATAACCAAAAGAAAACACCAATTCTCTTTATTACACTTCCAAATGAACCATATCTTTCACATACATGGAGACAAATTTAACCTAGCACCCAATTTTCACAACCTCCCGACGAGCTTCGATTTGTTTTCTCCGTATAGACGAAAGAGGCCGAATGCCGAAATAGCCGATAATACGACCATCGAGAGGCTCACGAGGAGCCCAGTCGCTATGCCTTCTCCAATTTGGTTGCAGAATTTGCCGTACATATCACATATCTTCATCCACTGCAACTCGTTCTGACCAAACTTGGCCAGAACAGCTGATTGGGCTGCGGCCCCCACTGCAGCCAGGGTCAAGTAGGCCATCACCTGAGATGGGTCGAGCCCAACACGAAAAGCATGAAATCGAGTTTTTTTTTTCATTAATTAATAAATGTCACAATATATGCTCCTTTTTTTTTTCATTTTAATAACAAATTGAAGTATAAAAACAATGGATTAGTGGAATTGCATACCTGATCACCTGAGAAAATGGCCCAAGCCAAGGGCTTATTGAAGAGCACACTCCCTCTCATCATATTCATAACACACCTCAAGACTTGGGCCAGTGAATAGGAGGCAACTAAACCATTGGCTATTACCAAGAAACTGCAATTTTTTGTAATACAAAATAAATAAATACATCAGGAATTTGTTGACCTAACTATTTAATTGAGAAAAGGTAAATTATTTTGGGGGCATAAAAGAACTCTTTTATTTTCAGAAATTTATGAAAAGTGCTAGGTTCCCGGATGTGACTCAATGAAATATAATAATTTTAAAATATTATTAATATAATTAACAATTTATAGCATAGATACACGTTGTTATTAAAAAAAATTAAATAAAATTGCCCTTAATATTGAAACCCTTTTTAAAATCACAATTTAATCACAACATTTTCACTTTTGCAAATCATATCACAATCTCCAATTGTTGCAAATCGATCCATCGATTACATAACCCGCGCAAAATATATCACAATCTTCAATTTATTTTCTGGACACATCAGCTTTTCTGGAGTTGGTTCTACACTACAAAAAAAAAATGATGGAATTCCAATGAAAATATACTTCAATAGAAATATTCCAATAGCAATTCACTATAAGAAAATGATGGAATTCCAACGGAAATATACTTCAATAGAATTATTCCAATAGCAATTCCAACGGATATTTGAATACTATTATTTCTGTTGGAATTTTTAAATGGATTCCAACGGAAATTCCACAAAAAATATTCTATTGGAATGAGATTTCCATTGGAACGTTGGAATTTGACGATTCTTACGGTGGATTTTTCAATGGGGGTGGAAATAAAAATTCCAACGGAAATTGCATATTCCAACAGAAATTCCTACGGTAAAAAGCCGTTGGTATCATCAAATTCCATCTAAAATTCCAACGAAAAACACATTCCAACGGAATATTTCCGCTGGAATTTCTGTTGGAACCATTCCAATGGAAGCTATACCATTGGAATATCCGTTGGAATTTCTATTAAAATATATATTGCCCTAACATTTTCCGTTGTAATATAACAATTTTTTTGTAGTGCTAGAACTCGTGGATGGATTTACAATAAAATGAAGATCGTGGTGTAATTTGTAAAAGTGAAACGATCACGATTAAATTGCACTTAAAAAAAAAAGTTTTCATATTAGGAGCAATTGATGACTGATCGACTCGCCTAACGATTATGCATTCCTTACACAAGATTTTGTAATTCACCAAATATTAAAGCTCATCATATATGCTACTTTACATATACCCAACAATCATTAAACACAAAATAATAATAATAATAATAATAATAATAATAATAATAATAATAATAATAATAATAATAATAATAATAATAATAATAATAATAAGGGTCATAATCAAAGGACTTACACAAGGGCTTTCATGTCTGTAAACATGGCCGTCTTCTGAATAGTGAAAATTTCCTTAACCTGAGTATCAGTGGCAATTAGCACAGCACAAAGAACGGCTAAAACGCAAATAACACATCTCAACACCAATTCTGCTACCCTCACTCTCCGGTCCACGACCTTTAAGCTGCTCCCGCGGTACACCGGAACATTACCTGGACTCACACCCACACCAATATAACTCATCATTTTTTTTTAATTTTTTTTTTTTTTTTTGTGNTTTTTTTTGTGAATATTTAGGTTGTTACAACCTAAGTACAAAGATTTTGGGAGAAATGTTAAGAGAGGGAGACAGCGTGAATGAATACAATGTAATATCAGAAAAGCTTATGAACAAGTCCTAGGAAGGGTACTGTATACGTTGTCTCATTAATATAGACATGAAAAGCATTTATATTTTTTATTTATTATTTTTTTTTTATGGTA